TTTATGTTGAATGTTTGTCTGTGATTTGTGCATATCGAGATCCTCGTGGGCTCCAACACGAGAGTCTAACGCTTCCGACTCCAGCCACAGGACCTCTATCTCCATTAGGGATCTTGACTGGAGTCCCTTTGTCTCCATCCATGAGTGAGTCAAACATGCCTTCCTCACATGTGTGCTCAGAGGCACCTGTGTCAATGACCCACGGTATGTGAGTGCTAATATTACCTGCCATGTTCACAGATGGATTGGAGACCACACTATTGTTGTTGCTATGCATCAGGAAATCCTTCAGTTGGGTCAGCTGTTCGGCAGTAAAGCCTTGTACACCACTAGGGTCTGAAGTAGCTCGCCCATCCACATTGGCAGCTCTATGTGGCTGCCGCTTTGTTGGTTTTCCACCTTCCTTCCTCCAGGTTTCTTTTCCACTCCTTCGGTTTTCTGGATAACCAATTATTTCGTAGCAGTTTTCAATCGTGTGCCAGAGTTTTCCGCAATTTCCACACTGCGGAGGGGTCACTTTCTCCTTGCTGTCATCACGACGTGCTGGCTTGCTACCCTGCCTTTGTACCTGGAAGGCTGCTCCATCTATGGTGGGATTTCTGGAGTTCACGATTAAGCGTTGTCTCTCGTCCTCAGCAACGAGGTGGTACGCAACTCCAAGACTTGGCAGTGGCGTTGTGCTTAGGACCTGGCTTCTAATGGTGTTGAAGGTGTCGTCAAGCCCCATCAAGAATTCGTACACTCGTTCCCTCTCAACCTTTTCAGCGAACAGTTTGGGCATACCACAAGTACACTTCCCACAAGAGCATCTCGGCGCGGAGAAGACCGCATCAATTTCATCCCATAATCCTTTCATCTTGGTGTAATAAGCAGATACAGACATCTTTTCTTGTCTGGTCAAGGTGAGATTTCTTTTTAACTCATAGGCCTTCGGCGCGCTCTCCTTCCCGAATCTCTCCTCCAGATCCTTCCATATCTCGTGCGCCGTTTTTGTATGTTTCACACTGTTTCGAATTTCTTTGTCCATGGCAACAACCAACCACCCCTTTACCATCGCATTGCACCGTTTCCACGTGAGTAGATCTGCGGATTTTTCATCAGGCATAGATATGGATCCATCCACGAATCCATATTTGTTCTTTGCAAGTAAACAATTGCTCATCTCCTCCAACCAATCTCCGTAATTTCCATCGTTGAGGACGTCGGTAACATAAACGTGGCTGGGATTGTCTGAAGGCCCTATGTAGTAGGGTGACATAAGGTCATTTACGGATCCCACCTTGTCGTCGTCCTTCATCATGATGGCAGGAAAACAAAACTATGCGGAAGCTGGTTTATCTATTGAACCTGCTCTGATACCAAAATAAAATTGGAGAAGAATTATCTTTTCATATGTCTGTTACTTAACCATGTACAGGTACAGCCAATATATATATATATAAATACAAAGTGAAATTAGGGTTGGAGATATACATGGCAACCCCATAAAATTGGAAACAGAAAATATATGCATGGATATGATCAAATCTCCTCTATCTATACAATGAATATATCCATATTTCCACACTCTTTGACTTATAATTAAATTTATAAAAAGTATTTTAATTTTATTTTTAAACTTTATAATTTACAGAGATAGTTGAATGTTTGACAGAGGTGAAGGCAGAAAAGCAGGCACAAGCCAATGACTTCTTAGCCTACTGGTAAGAGCGAGGTACCAAGGCCGGAGGTCATGGGTTCAAGCCTCTCGGAGCGCAAATGGTGGAACAATTAATACTGAAGTCTACAAGCGACAGTGTGGGAGGCTGAAATTCGGTGGGAACCAGCGGCTGGATAGGTGGGGCCAGCATGAAGTTAGGAGAGCTAGCATGAAGCAACCACTTCGGTGGGACCCTGCGGCTGGATAGGTGGGGCCAACTTGGAGCTGGGAGGGTCAGCGAGCAATCACTTGGGGACCGACTCCTTGTGCGCGGTAGTTGAGGGTGTTAGGAACCTGTGAGCCATTGCGTGGTTACCGCGATTTAACTGGAGGCAGTTTCTAAGGGGCAGGGGGTTGTTTCCTCGAAAAATAATCAGGCGCAAGCCTGGAATCTCAGTATCATAAAAAAAAAAAAAAAAAGGCACAAATGAAAATGGCCCATTGACGCGATTTCTCTCCACTCAAGTTTCCTGGTTATGCCGTCAAAAATATCCCTCAAGAATTTCAACATCATATATGGCAAAAGTCCCTACTTATTTTTAAGGTGAAAAGGATTCATTTTTAGAACTTAATTTTATTATTTTCATTTCGGGGATTCATTTTTAGAACTTAATTTTATATTATTTTCATTTCGGGTGCTCAAGTTTTAATTTTGTGTCATTTTTGTTTGGCAGTCAGCAATTATGATTAGCAAATTATATTATGGCATGTTTTTGGGAAGTGGTTGTGATAAGAGATTATTCTTGAAACAACTAACCATAGCTAGTTAGATTGCAAAGTTAATATAAGGAGAGGAGCTTGAAAATCGACATCGAATAAGGAGGGGAGTGTGGTCAGATTCAATTCGAGGGAGGTGTGTAGCGGTCGTGACCCAAACATCCTCGTCTATACCTCAGCAGGGACGTAACCAGAAATATTTTTGACCCTGGGCTACTAGAACTGATTTGTTAGGGGTGATTGTTTATGGATTGGACTAGTTTTTATTTGATTTATTTTTTCACTATAATTAATTTTGTAAAAAGGTGGTATAGTTAGTTGTTAGTGGATATATCAAAATAATATTTAAATAAAATAATTAAAGTTGATTTAATTAAAGTAGAAGAAAAATGATTGGAAGTGATAGTTAGTTTAGTATTATGTGAGTGGGTGAATAGTGAACTAAAGTTGATATGATGTGTAAGAATTGTTGTAAATATTTTCACCGGAGTAGAACCCAAAGATTCGACACCGGGTCGTCTCACAAGGAAGGTTAGCCGGAATAAATTGCACGACTATTCAAACACACAAAAGTAAGAAACAAGTCCTAAACATTCTAATTCGATTGATTTGGCTTAATATTATCAACTAGGAATTGAAAAGCAAGTAATAGGAAAACTAGACAAAACAAAGAATCTCAAGTTCAAACTCGAATAATTATAAAGGAGCTAGGGTATCGGGATCAATCAATTCCGGTTCTCAATGAACTCAACGAGCAATCAAAAGCTCGGTTAAAGGCCCCACAGAACTATTCATCCAGAGATCTATCCTCAATAACTTTTCGTAACAAGAGGATAGACATAAACGAGTAATCCTTGAGGCAATCAACACATAAGCAATACTATTACGAACAAGCTTACTCCTAACGAGCCTAGATCGAACGATTTCTCCCTTTTCAGTTATAAAATCGATTAATTAGATTAAGATGGTGATCAAACATCAAAACCCTAGGCTAAGCACAACTCGAGAGGATAGAGCAACTATCATGCATATGAACGAAATCGAACCGGAATGATCTTCCCCTAACCCTAGCTAATGGATTTAGCTACTCATCATGCATTCAACATCAACAAACATAATAATCAAAGCCATTCAATCAATAATAAAACCAAATGAAAGCTTACGATTGAATAATCCAATGTCGAAAACAAGAGCAACCGAATCCAAAGGTCGAATCCCGGAGTTTTCCTCTCCAAGATCGAATTACAAGATCAAAAACAAGAGAAAAGTTGAGTTTTTGGGTGAAAATCCCTAGAGAGTTCCGAACTTCGATCTAAAAACGAATACCCTCCTATAACATAAAATCTGATGTTTTAAAATCTGAATTCGCGCATCTCGCGGCCGCGACATGTCCCGCGGCCGCGGTGAAGGGACGGTCCGCGGCCGCGACATTTCCCGCGGCCGCGAGTTTTCCTCTCTGTACGTTGATTCGTGGCTCTCGACCTCTCCGCGGCCGCGACTTCTTCTCCCGCGGCCGCGGTGAAGAAAACTGGGCGTCTTGGTCGAATTGTTCGCCGCGACCGCGACTTTATCCCGCGGCTGCGAGTTTTCTTCTCTGTACGCTGAGTCGGGGATCTCGACCTCTCCGCGGCCGCGACTTCCCCCTCCGCGGCCGCGGTGAAGAAATTGTGCACAGAATTTCGTCGGCTCGACACGCGTTCCTCCGGACTCGGGATTTAGTTCCGACTTTTCTTTCTCAACTCGATTCCAGCTCTTGGACAACGATCACCTCACGGCTGCTTGCCGAACCACATGACCTGCATATTGCCACCACCAAGAAAAACGCAGAAAACCGAAAAAAAGAAACAAGAAAAACCAAAATCGAGCACAATAAAGAAAACACGCGACACGACACAAAATGGACCAAGAACCAAAGAAAATAACCTAAAGTGGGAAAAAATAAATGCAAAATAAACGAGGAAAACACGACAAAAATGGAACGAACAAGAATGATTGTTTGATATTATTTAATTATATTGATAATATTAAAGATAGTGAAATTGAGTTAAATTTGAGTTTTGATTGAGTTTTTTACTATTGAATTCATATACAATCGTCCCCTTAAGCAGTACAAATCAGTTCGCTAGTAAAAAGTGAATCTTAACTCATTTATACAATAAAAAAATGAAAGTTTAATTCAACGAGCGGAACTTAATTAGTTACACTCGATTTATTAAATGATCTTAGCAAAACATACTCGACATTCGACTCATGGCTTCACTAACACCACTACTATTATGTGTAAAAATTCACAGTATGATAATTTCTTAAGTGTTTAATATATAAACTACAAAAGGAATGAAAAAATATTATTAAATATATGTCATGTTGTTTTAGTAAATTAAAAACACCTTATGCTAATTTTTTGGAGGTATTTATATATGAAATCGATTGCAGTTTACACAAATATGTAGATTTTTTTTTTTTTTTGTTGATACGGTAATTTTTTAATAAAAAATAGTATTGTGGCGTAAGTTTTTCTTGCCTACTTAAGTTAAACTTATATAAATAATTTATTTCAAATACTAATACGAGATTAACGTTTTATTATTAGGAGGTCAACTCAACATACTTGTTTTATGATGTTTCACTTAAATTGTGGAAGTTTAAATATCATATTATTAAATAGACAAGATAACCCTACGTATTGGTTATATGATAGTTATTCCAAATATGCTACGCAAATTAATGAAATAAAATTATATATTTCACATATTCAATATCATTTATTTAAAAGTTAACAAGTAAATATTATATTCCACATATAAAGTAATATAAATAATATAATGTAATCATGTCTTAAATCAAATTTTAAAAAATGAAAACAAAGGAAGAAAAAATTACAAAGTAAGCTATATATAACCACAAAGAAAAAAAAAATATAAAAAGTTTGAGCCATAGCAAAAAATATGTATAATTTTTTTATTTAATATAAAATAAATTTAAATTAATATGAACTAAATAATTTTATCATAAATTTAATCAATAAAACATGGGCAAAATATTTTTTTCCTACTAGAGATTTAGATAAAACAAAAAATAAAGACCGAACTGGAGCTCGGGTGAGCCACCTCCCCCCTCCACCCCTGCCTCATATACCAAGTCATGGTCGAGCCTCTCCTTG